AGCTATTAGAGAGTGTCCAAAGGAGGGCAACGAAGATGGTGAAGAGCCTTGAGGGGAAGTTGTATGAGGAGTAGTTGAGGTCACTTGGTTTGTTCAACCTGGAGAACAGGAGACTGAGGGCAGATCTCATGACAGTCTACAACTTCCTCATGAGAGGAAAACAGAGGCAGGCACTGATCTCTTCCCTGAGGTGACCAGTGACAGGACCCAAGGGAATGGCCTGAAGTTGTGTCAAGGGAGGTTTATGCTGGATATCAGAAAAAGGTTCTTCACCCATGTGATAGACTGAAACACTGTTCATGTCTTAAATATTGTCAAAATCATAGAAAGACTTTTTGTCAAACTGCAAAGAAGCAACTGCCTGTCTGGGACCTCTGAAGGACCCCCTCCAGCATATGTATCCTAACTGGAATTTGGACTGTGATGGGAACTTGGGATAAGACTCAAGTCTTTTCTGACTCTTACTTTTCTGACTTACATGATGTGTAGGGAGAAGTAAACAAGCCTCAGCGGGTGAAGGATGAGACAGGTTTTGGGTGTGTGATGGGTGAAATCTCTCCGCACAAAACAGAAGTAGTAAATGCTCCCACTCTGGGAATACCACATACACACAGCACATTCATAGGAGAGGCAGCTGAGAAGAGGTCATAAACTATAAAAGACCCTCAAGTGCCCCCTAGTTTCATTCCCTTGGCCTTCCACCACCAGTGGACTGCATATGATCCAACTGAGGCAACAAAGCCAGAGTCTATTGCAAGAGACTGTAAAGCTTCCCCCTTCCAGGAGAGATTCCTGGCATATCCCGAACATATATTTATCCATTGGACTCTATGCTTTGGGGGACTCTAACCACCAAAAAGACCAGAAGAATCCGATCCACAGGACACTTTTGGGTTCCACAAAGTGGTGATACATTTTCTATCTAATCTCTCGCTGTCACTCTCTTTCTTCCCCCTGCCCCTTCCTTTTTCCTATTTCTTTCTATCTCCCTCTCTGCCTCAATTTACTGTTAAATACTATTGACTTTGGCATATGGTCTTGTTTGCACCTTAATTCAGCCAGAGACCTTTCTAATAATTTTAATAACCAGATCATAACAACCCAGAGGTTGGTTGGGCCCTGGAATAGGCTCCCCAGGGAAGTGATCACAGCACAAAGCCTGACAGAGTTCAAGAAGCATTGGGATGATACTCTCAGGCACATGGTGTAACTTTTGGGGATGGTCCTGTACAGGGTTAAGGGTTGGACTCAATGATTCCTGTGAGTTTCACTTCCAATTCAGCATATTCTGTGATCCTGTGATATTAATTTTATATACAATAAGAAAACAGAGTAAAATTTCTTTTGTATTTAGAATCCTTTTAGAGTTTTAGGTTGTCCATCACAATTTTCATGCATTCCCCTTGAAAATCATGTTTCCATTTTTAAAAAGTTTGTTCATACTTTGCTGGTATGACTAAATATTTTCAAAGTTTAATCACCAAAAGTAAAGGTAGTGTGGTGATGGACAAGAGGAATGTGTATCCTGTTCTATGTCCACCTGTTGTCATTTCATTCTTCATATACCACTATTCAGAGAAGCTGTTTGAAGGAATGTAACTGAAGTACACACTCCACAAGTTTCAATGAATGTCAATGCCCTTTATCATCATCCCTGATGGTCACTTTCAGGACCTTGTTCTATGATTGCGCTATAATTAATAAGGGCTTTTCTTGTCCATTGTTATGGACCTTGTGTTGTCAAGTATGGCAGTGTTAGAGGACAAAACACGTTTAAAACCATTTCTGCCTTATGTCTTTTAATACAGCTGTAGCACAATTAACTATGACACATAAATTAGTATGTAGATTAAGAAATATTAGAGAAGAATTTTATCGCAAGAGCACAGTGTGTTCCTTAACAATTTCCATTGCTAATATTTCTAGCAATGTTCTTTCCCCCAGGCACCATAAATGTCACTAGTGAATATAGCAAACTTGTGAAATTCAGCAGAGTGGAGTCAGTGAGACTCAACAGAATGCCGTTCTCAGGACTTGTGAAGTTACCCTTTCCTTCTCTAGTTTCTATTACAGCACAATTTGCACTGAATGTGAATATGATCCACTCTGACATTGCATAAAAACTGAACAATAAGTTCATCATTAGAATGTCTGTTGTTTATGAAGGCTCTCTGTTAGGATTTCAATTACTGCTGACTTTTTCAAGATTTGTTATTGGTTTTGATATAGTTACTTCCTCTTTGAAATCTTTTCTTCCCTCTAGTTTTCATATGAATATATGTTTTCACATTCAACCTACCAGAGTCTGTGATGTTTTTATTTGAGTGATTGATGGGAAATTGCACATTCTAAGGTCTGCTTCTTTCTTTCCTTCTCACACCCTTAAATTTAGGTGTCAGCTTCTTTTTATCTATTTTCAAGCTCTGATTAATGGTACACATTTTTTAATCTACCTCTAATACAGTATCCTTATATAATCTCTTCTTTTTCTATGAGTATTTCGTACCACTACCCTCTTTTAAGCATTCTTTTAACAAGCTAAATGCATTAATAGTTTCTTTTTCAGAAACTGAGGATAATAGTTGACTTTTTTTTTTACTTTTATTCTTTCTGCAGGCATTTTGAACCTGGGTACATAATGGTCACTGCTAGAGAGACACCCTTCAATTCTGAATCAGGACATATAACTAACTATAATCACATCAAAGGTTGATTTATGTTTTGTGTTTTCCAGCCTACTGCTCCATGAAACAGTCAGAGATCCTACATAGAAAGTTCATCTTTATTTAAACCGCTTTATGCTATTTGCCTAATGTACATCATAGCTGCAATCTCCCATCACCTATTAGTTTTCTGTACTCACAATCTCTTTGACCTCAGAAGGTCACAGTCATGGTCAGTCGTAGTCACGGGCTTCATCATGAACTTATAGAAAGACTAGAGGTGAAAAGAATGTTTATTTATTTATTCATTTATTTAGGTGAAACCATGTCACTTGAAACATTTTCTGTGATCTGGAAGGGACCATAAGGATCACTGAGTCCAACTCCTGGCCCTGCACAGGAACATCCCCAAGAGTCAGTCATGTGCCTGAGAGTTTCGTACAAATCCTTTTCCAGTGCCCAACCACCCTCTGAGTGAGGCACCTTTTTCTAACATCCAACCTAAACCTCCTCTGACACAACTTCAGGCCACTCCCTCAGGTCCTGTCTCTAGTCACCTCCAGATCAATGCATGCCACTCCTCTTCCCCTCATAAAGAAGTTGTAGACTGTGATAAGGTCTGTCTTCAGTCTCCTCTTCAGGCTGAAAAAAACCAAGTGACCTCAGCCACTCCTCATACAGCTTCCTCTCAAAGCCCTTCACCATCTTCATTGCCCTCCTTTGAATGCTCATTAAGAGCTTAATATCTTTCTTCTATTGCAGTGCCCAAAACTGCACACAATATTCAAGGTGAGGCTGCACCAGTGCAGAGCAGAGCTGGACAATCTCCTCTCTTGACCGGTTGGTGATGCTTTACCTGATGCCCCCCAGGACAAGTTGGCCCTCCTGGCTGCCAGGGTACTGCTGTTTCATGTTCAACTTGCCATCAACCAGAACCCCTAGGTCCCTTTCCATGGTGCTACTTTCTAGCTTCTCATTCCCCAGTCTGCATGTACATCCAAGGTTGTCCCATCCCAGGTGCAGAATCCAGCACTTTCCCTTGTTGAACTTCCTATGGTTGGTGATTGCCCAGTCCTCTAATTTGTTGAGGTCTCTCTGCAGGGCCTCCCTGTCTTTTAGGGAGTCAACAGCTCCTCCCAGTTTTGTCATCTACAAACTTGCTTAGTATCCCTTCTAGTCCTGCTTCCAAGTCATTTATGAAGATGTTGAAAAGCACAGGGCCCAAGATGGAGCCTTGAGAAACCACATTAGTGACAGGTCACCAGTCTGATGACCTGTTACCCCATTCACTATTACCCTCTGTGCTTTACCCATGAGCCAATTGCTCACCCACCAAATGATATGTTTATCCAGCTGTGTGCTGCCTGCTTTGTCTGGAAGGATATTGTGAGAGATAATATTGAAAACTTTTCTGAAATCCAAAAAGATTACATTAACTGGCTTCCCTTGATGAACTAGGTGGGTTACCTTTTCTTCAAAGGAAATCAGGTTTGACAAGCAGGACTTTCCTCTCCTGAAGCCACCCTGGTTGTGACCAACGACTGCATTGTCTTTCAGGTGTTTTGCAATACTTCTAGAAAAATCTTCTTCATAACTTCACCAGGCATTAAAGTGAGACTGAGAAGGCTGTAGTTTCCATGGGCCTTCTAGCCTTTCTTGAAAATCAGGTCAATTTTCCCCAGCTTCCACTCAGTTGGGACCTCTCCAGATTCCCAACACCTCTCAAAAATCATCAAGAGAGGTTTTGCATAGACAGCAGCCAGCTCTTTGAGGATTCTGGGATGAATCCCATCAGGCCCCATAGATTTGTAGGAATCCAGCTGTAGCAGCAGGTCCTGCACAATTTCAGGGTTGACTGGGAGTTGATCATACTCATAGTCATGGTCCTCCAGCTCAGGGGACTGAGACCCCCTTGTTCTGTCATCTGTGTTGAAGACAGAGGCAAAGAAAGCATTAAACACCTCTGCCTTGTCTCTGTCCCTGTCTGTGAGGTGACCATTCTCATCCTGCAATGGACTGATAATATTTCTATACTGACTATGTCATTAATGTATTTGAAAAAACTCTTTTTATTAACCCCCACATTTCTGACCAGCTTCAACTGCAGTTGAGTTTTGGCTGAAAATTTCCTCCCTGCAGCTGCAAGCAGCCTCTTTAAATTCTTCCCATGACACTTGACATTGCTTCCACTGGGCATATACCTTCATTTTTTGCCTTATCTCCAAGAGAAGATCCCTGTTCAGCCAAGACAGCCTTCTGCCTCTCCTGCTTGACTTCTGACATTTGGGTAAACGTGGTATAAGGTCAAGTACCAGCTCTACTTGCAGTATAACCCAGATGAGGACCAAGAGTGAGTACTTGACCTTAAATGCAGCTCCTGAGGAAGGTGAGGGACACTCTGCAAGCCCCCGACAGCACCCTCTCAATTCTTTTCACATCACTTTGATCCAAGGTTTCACCTGCATCCTACCAGAGCTGTTCAAGCACAGGCAGGAATTCAACAGTGTGCACGTGACATGTGAGACAGTAAAAAGAGGAGGTCCATTCCTAAACAAAACATGGTAACATAATGTTCCTAAACATTTTATGGTTTATCATCTTCTTTTACAGATTTTTTTTTCCTCTGGGAGGTCATTGGAGTCAGATATCTTCAGCGGGCATTTCTCCACTCTCACTTATATTATACTGTATTTTTGTCATTAGTATGTCATACGTACTATTAATAAAAAGAACACATAATCTTTAAGATACTGGAATTGAATACAAATAACTTGGTATTCATTTTTGCTATTAAATTACTTCCCTGAAGTTCTGCATAAACCTACCTGCTTTAGTTCTCCAATAGTACAAAATAAAACATTGTGTTGCTTTTCACCCAACTTAATGTAACTTCAAGAGTTAGATTTTTTTCAAGTATCTCTATGTCCATACAAATCCCAGTGTTGAACTTTTCTTAGTTTTCATCAATTACATGGAACCAGCTGGGGTTACAGATAGGAAGATTTTCTCTTTGCCTAAAGCAGACCTAAGGTATGACAGTTGTCAAAAATCACTTCAAATTTCATCTTATCACATTTTTTGTCTCATGATACGGCATGGGCACTTTGCAGCTATTTAATTTCTTGGTTGATTTTCTATGCAATGTATGTTAATATTTTAACTGTATTTCATACATAGCATTTTACTTTTTATGCTCTTCACTCTATAACTTTTTTCCTTCATGATTTTATTGCTGAATAAACAATCTCTTGATATTTATTTTCTATCTTCCCCTGTGCTTTTTCCCATGGTTTTTACAGGATGTTTTTGTTTATTTAATATTATTAATTATAGTGCTCCCATAATAATTTTTGGCTGCATGAAGATTAATAATGATTTTTATGAAGAGTATGAACTGTTAAAATGCTACCAATAACTTATTTTAAAATGGTCCAGATTTGCCCCATACAAATATTGTGAAGAAGCACGTTTTCTTTACCAGTAAAAATGAAACCTGTATGTGATACTAGAATGATGCATAATTACATGAATGAAGGGCAAAATGTAAGTGGGCAAGAACTCTTCTGCATTAAATATGCAATAGCTTTCTTTTTGAAGTGTCTAAAAAGAAAAATAACCTTTTATAAAGGCCTATTTTAGTACCAACTGAGAAAATCTCATTATGAAATAGGTATGAAAAGATGGGCTCCTGAAAGTAGGATTTCTAAATATGCAGTAATGTAGAGCATAGACTTTTATATCTGATAATGCTGACAGATGTAATAGCAGCTATAATGAATATAATAGTTCAAGACTGCTACCCTAAAAGAAAAAAATTGGTAAATGATCCAAACTACACATTTGATGGGCCATTATCTAATGGTATCATTGAACATCATGAGATTCTGAAGATAATAGAATGGTCTCAAAATAGAAAGACAATGAGTATTCAGCAACAAGGCTAGTAGTTCTCTTGCAGATCCATGTCCTTTCTTTCTTTCTGTGGGGAGTTAACTCCTAGGGGTGGAAATACAGAGACAGAGAGAAAAAATTAGAAATTAACATACTTGCCTGGCTCTGGAGCTATGTGGTTAGAGTACTGAAACTCTTTGAAGGCAGAATTGGGATTCAGTAATTAAACTAAAACAGAAACTAATCTGGGAGAAGGATCAAACCCTAGTTTCTACTCCTTCTGAGTTTAATATTCTAAAGTTTGAGTCTGTTATTATTACTACTAGTTAGTCATAGTCCACACTTTTCTGGTATCTTCAAAGACTTAAACAGAGATGATCATCCTTGTGCACAAAGGTCATTGGGATAGGTTCACATGCTCAGCAATTTAGTAATAGGACCTAGTTAAATTTTAGATGTTTTCATCTCAATTTAGGTGATGATGGGAGAGACTGAATGCTACTCTTTGATATTATCCTATAATTTTCATCAGCTTGTTGAGTCTTTTATTATTCTTTATCTAAATTTTTCCTCAAACAGTATCTTTTCCATCCTACTTTGATCTTTCAGCATAGTCCAAAGTATGGTCCAAAATACTTTTGAAGTACATAGGAGAGAAGAAGGACATTTAAGGAAATCATGTACTTTAATCAGTATCATAATCCACATGCACTTTAGCGGTAGACCAGGTACATGTAGGCATAGCAAAATATACATCCACATGCGTTTCCACATGCTGTGTAAAAATGAGAACAATGTGAACAAATTTCAAACTATAAATACTACTTTTTATTTTTATTGTGTCTTCCCTTGGAAGGTAGATTTTATTCTTTCAAATAATTTTCTCATCTGTAAATGTCAGTTTAGAAACCACTATCCTAAAGTGTCAGATAACTACAGTGAGGGGAAAAAAGGCTAAAACTGAGAAAAAACCATTATATTTAAGACAAATAAAACTTTTACTAAGGTAAAGCTATGGACAATTTCTAAGGCATTAAACATAATACAGTGTTTTCATCAATTTTAGTATGACTCCAAGAAAAAGCTTCATAATCTTATTTTGGTTTTCTTTCTGTAATCACTCATCTCCATGCAATAAAAAATTGTTAGATATTTTCAAGGGACAAAAAAAGGCTAATCTGTAAATTAAACAGTTATGGAGGACTCTGTAGTTTGTTGTCTTTGACTGTGATACATAAAAACCTCAAGCATATGAATAAGGACATTTGGTCTTCAGATATGTACTTTGAAAACTGAGGATTTAATGAAGTGTTTTGCTGAGTGTGTATGAACAGAAAAATATTGTGGATTGCTTGCATGTTTTCTTCATAAAGCCAGAATTCTCAGACCTACATCTTCAGAATATCTACTTTTATCATAAACTAATAAATCATTATCAGGAAAATATTTGTGGTTAAAACTCATGACTAGAGCTTAGATGTTCTGGTTTAATTCCTAGTTTTGCCACAGATATTCTTAACTTGAATAACATTATTTTTTGGGAACAGAGGGAGGGAATATGGAAAGTATACTTTTAAGCTCTTTCTCTTCTGCACACAAGTACAATAAAATGAACTAAATAAAAAATCAAATCTTTAGCAGGAATAAAAATAGGCAAAATCTGACTTTGGTTACAGTGTTATAGTTCTGATCAGTTAATTGGACTTATTCTAGTTTTCCATTAGAGTAATTAAACGTTGCTCTTGCTTTGTTGTATGTTTTCTGTTATTGTAATGAGGATTTAATATTCAATTGTATTTGGTGTGAGAACAGAAATATTTTCCTCTCTTTGAATTCCTAGGCTGCCATGGAAAATACTCGAGAACTTTAAGGAATAAGTGCTCTGAAGCTATCCTCAGTAATGAAGCAGGTGTGAAAAGCAATTTTCCTTTGCCAAGTGAAATGATGACTACAAAATCAGCAGTTCCCATGATAGTGTGCTTTCTTCAGCTCTGGGTTGTAAATGGGCAGGTAATATGTGAGAGGCAAATGACAGCTGAATGGAGAGAGGAACCAAAACCTACTGTAATCAAATGGACACCAATGGCAAATATCTGCTCAGACTTTTACACTGAATGCTGGAACATGAATAAAAGTATTACTGGGGAAATCTTGGAAGGACAAAACCTTAGTATCCCTCAGATATGCCCCTTACAGCTTCAATTAGGTGACAGTCTCTTCATCTTTTCTGAGCCGTCCTTTCAGTCCTATGGAATGAATTTGGTAAACGTCTCCAAGGAAGAATTTATTAATTGCCCTAAACCTGTTTTTCTTCAAGAACAGTTGATTTTTGCTTGCCAGATAAGAGGACTGCACCAAGTTGACCCTAACTGGCTTGGTGTTGGAACTCATTACTTTGCAGAACTCCATAAGAGAGGCCCCCTACTGTGCAATATGGGCCTTCGTCTGAATGTAACTGTGAAGCAGCAGTTTTGCCAACAGTCTCCAAACGCACCGCTCTGCTCTGGGCATGGAAAATGTCTAAGCCATGTTTGGGAAAAAGCCTATAATTGCCATTGTTTCTCACACTATTCTGGAACATTCTGCCACAAGTTTGATATGTGCTCCACCAAACCTTGCCACAACAACGCTTCCTGCACTGAGAAATCAGAATTTTCTGGAGATTCTTATGAGTGCAAATGTCCTCCAAAATTTTCAGGTATTTCTTTTCTCTTCTAGGAATAAATGTTACATGGATCATATAGTTTCCTTAATGGATGACAAAACAGTGAGAACATAATTAGCAAGGCTTTTGCATAATTTGATTTTCCACTGCCACTACCACACCTGCACTGAGTCACTTTTACAAGTAATCACTTATAGGAGACTGTACAAGAATTTGAAGACAGTTTGTACTTGCTGACCTTCATAAATGCATTGTAGAGAAAAACCGAATAAGTTGTTATCATGTTTCTTTCCTACTTAAGTATGGGATATTAATAAGCACTTGAGAACTTACAGAAGTAACTGATTTTTTTTGTTGTTGTTCAGCAATTTAAGTTCTTATAACAAATGACATAAATCATTTGGAGTAAACTCCCAAAAAGTAATTACTTAACCCAACTGCTGAAAAAAAAATAGTTTTGTTGAGCATTTCATTCAACCTTCCAAAAAACTCTTCCCTTTTCAGTTTTAAGGACCTTTAAAATACACTAGGGAAAAGTTTTAAAATCAAAAATTTGGTTTTAATTGAAAGGTCAAACATTTAATTAGAAGAACAAGTGAAGCAAAATACTTAATCTTTTCTTCCAGATTGTTACCATAAAGTTCCTTTCAAAGGGAATTCATTCAACATACAGTTTTTATCAAATTAAATATTTCACAAATGAAAAAAATCATCTGATTCTGTCTAGGAAGTATTAGAGTACTTACTCAAAACTCATTGGAGAAACTGAATTTGGTGTTGGGTTTGCAATACCAGAGAGTACATACAGCATGATTAAAGAAATTCTTACTTATCCATTTTCTTCCTTTCAGGGACTTAAGAAAGAGGATTAAGGAAATTATGAGTATATTATTCCTGGATTCAAACCAATGGAATTTGGGTACTCTTTAGAAAGTACCAAAAATATTAATTCACATCAAAAATTGTTTGTTGAAGCTCTTTTTGTACTTGTGGAGCAGAATTCTTGCAATGTTCCTTTGTTGGACTGAACTTCTGTGCTCTCACAGTAGTGATGCTAGGCTATGAAACATAGCTGATGAACACAGAAATGAAGGTTATGTTGCATAAAGTTTGCTTTAATTTATTTTCAATTGCTTTTCAAAGTGTGTAATAATTTGGTTATTAATGCATTTGCCAATAGAAGATTATGCAGGTATGAATGAGTCAATGTTATGAGAACAGTATTTTTATAATTACTCAAAGTGTAGTAATGTAGTGGAAAAAATTGATGGTATGCAGTATGTTTAATATTTCTGTTATGGTTTCTGGGGATTGTATAAAATGCTTTTAAAATAATAATATCAAAGAGTGTCTGGTACTAATTTAACTGAAATTAATGGAGAAATTCACAAGCAATTCTGTTAAAATCAATCATCATGATTAATGTTATCAACAAGCAATGCTTGAAATATTGTATGAGCTTATATACGAAAGTTTTGGGTAATGCCATAATTTTATACTAATAGTACTGGCCCCATAAATAAGCTGTATGTAAACAAGAAAAATTAGTAGAATAAACCACCTCATTATGGACATGTCTCCACAAGAATAAGGGAGAAAAAGTGCCTCCCATAATATCAAGTCTGTTAGAAATGTGAAAAGTTGATGAATTGTCAATAATGTCATAGCAGTAATTCAACTGGTAAACATAATTATGTGGTATTTAGACCTGTATGCTGAAATACCATTCAAAACTTATAAGTGGAACTGTAATTTCCAGAAAACTGCATATTAACAAAAATTCTGTCAAATTCCACTCCACATGAGAACATCTCTTGTTCTCAGTGCTGGAGGAAACGTTAAGCTAGATTCATGGTAAAAAGAAAAAAAGAGTACTGTTCCAACAGCATTTCTGCATTTTAAGGCATATGTGAATTTGTGACTATGTGACAGATGAGGTTGAGCACAGTAGCTCCTATAAAAGTAGATTAAGATCTTTCTGCCTTGCTTTAGAATTTCAGTAATTTTGGTGAAAACTAATGAATAATGTTAACACAAGTACCAAACTATCTATCTGCCTACCTGTATTGTAGCTATATATTTGACATTTAAAAAGAACTTCACCAAAACTCCTAAATATTTACTAAAGTTCAGTGTTCCTATTACTCCTTTCAAATAGGTAAAAATTGTACAGAAATAGTTGGACAGTGCCAGCCATCTACGTGTTTCAATGGCAACTGCGTCAATGTTACTCCAAATACTTTTCTTTGTAACTGTGACAAGGGCTTTACAGGTAAGAAACACCTTTGTTGCCTGTGTTACAAAAATGGTTTCCTGTGTTATAATAATGGTATGAACTTTTGGTTTATTAAAATAGTTATTTTAGATGATTGTTGCACAGTTTGCCGTGTGCTCAGGGTTTTTTTTTATGTAGGTTTTATAACATAAAGAAATCTGACTTCCATGTGACTATTCCCAAGTACTCATGCATTAAAGTGAAATCATACAAATGATAGAAGCTTTTCATATTTGATACCTTTCACCTATTAGTGGTATAACAAAGGAAGACTCATAATCACTTTCTAACCGGCTCTTAAAAAGAGAGTTCGTAAGAATCAGAACTCTTTCTGAGTTGATGATTTGAAATGATCAAAACATTTGTATTCATAATTTCAATATACTCTTAATAGATAAATATATAAATATAAATATAAGAAGGAAATAATTCACAGTCAACAATCTTATGATTTAGGAGTGTGTCATGATTAAAAAGAAAGAAGTTATTTGCTTTATTTTTGGTATGTTTGACAAATAAGATGTTTTCATGAGAAAAGTTTGATCAAAATGTACCTAAAGCCATCCTATTGTAAACAGTTTTTGGGGAGTTAGAAGAGTAGTCAAACTTAAAAACATTATTATTTCTGGGCTTCACAGAAGAATTTTACTGTGTTGATAAAAGAAAAGTAGCAATACTCAGAAGAACATTCTTTAAGAATGAGCTAAGTATAAAGCTAGCTCTTGAATATCCAAAGACAGTGAAACTTTTCAAAATGTCTCCTTCTTGGAAGCATCAATTATTCCTGACAATTATAGAATATAAACAAATTATTGCACTGAGATGAAGAGTTAAAATAAAAAAAAGAAAGGCATAAGGGAGTTAGAGGGATCCAAGAGCCTAACAAGCCAATCTTTATTTTCATAGTGAAAGACTGAAAATCTTTGTTGACATTTAAGTCTGTATAGAATTATATTCTATAAAAATGGGATAGGCATGCTGAATTTTAAATTCCTAGTAAATGTGTTTGATATTACTCTTCTTTTCTCTCTCTCCTTTGCTGTAGAAGCATCACAGTCAGCACAATTCTGAGAAAACTGAAAAAAAAAAACCCGCACTTTTTTAAAGAAGAAAAGTCTGTAGGTAGAGTTTTCTAGAGCTGGTTTTTCCCCTGCTCATTTTCCATATCTTTTTAGAAGGCTTACTCTTGTCCTTTCATACAAATTGTGTGGGCATAGTGCTTTTGAAATTTTCCCTACAAAAATCTGTTTTATTCTTGCAATTTTGACCTGATGAGGGAGAGGAGAGGAGGAGACAGGAGGAATACCCTTCCAGATACAGTAAACCAAAACCCATCATGACATGAAAACAGTTCAATGCTCTGAACTAATGGATGGCAGCAATCATTGCAATCTGCTCTCCAAGTAGCTGTAAAGGATTGACAAGGAGAAAAAGAGACTATTGAACATGCACTAGCTGCCTTTTTATTCTCCACCCAGCTAACAGAAAATGGGGAATCCTTTCTTGTTCCTAAGCATAAGTATCATAGAAGGAGAAGACAGACTTAAGGGAATTTAACTCACTTTTTCCTGCTCTGATATAAATTGCCCAGGTCTTGCTGTAAGAGAAAAGTGTATAGTATATCAGCACATCCTGCAACAGGACTGGTTGATTAATATACAGTATAATTTTGCAATTATTTTCTAACCAAATGTGGTAAAGTCTGCATTTCTTCCTATGATACTGTGTTAAGGTGTTTGTTATCACAAAGGAAATTTCAAGAATAGTTACCTAAAAAAACAGCCCACATGAAAACAGACATCCTTCTATGAAAACAGACATTTTTCTGTTGTTATTCCATGGTGGCTGCATGATGTTCTCAGAAAAGGTGAGTTGTGTAATTATGAATCTTGTAACTTGAAATTGTTATTTTAATTATGTGAAATTAACAGCAAATTCAAAACACTCTTTTGTTTTGATATTGAACTTTTACACAGAAAAACATAATACCAAGATCATACTCATTATGATTAAGATTTTGTAAACTTTGTCCTATCTTTTTTCTAAAATGAGGTAAGGCACTGGCAGCAACTATTTCACATGATCTGAATGAAAATATGAATTTTTCTTGTTACTGTAAATTGATGAGATGCAAATAAAATTATAATAAAATTCTTTTATATTTATATTTACAGTTATTATTTGCAAGGTTTTATTCAAAATAAGTAAAGGTTTCTGGGTTTGAGTTGTGTTCACCATGATAGAATGGATCTATAGGAGAAGCAATGTAAATTGTTTATGTCAATTATGTGTTTTTATTATATATTAATTGTTTAGTTCATTCACTGAGATCTCAAAACTCTCTTTACTCTTTCCTGAAAGAACATTTTTAACATAACTTAATAGCAAACAGCTAACATTAGGCTTGCCATTATTCTTATGACTGCGTAGTCCAATTCATACCAGAATTTGCACCCTTAGGCTTATTAAGAAATGTTTAGGGTAAGGGAATCTGGGTGAAACAAGGATGAGGCAGGTATAAAGAGGAAGGAGGTATAAAATAGGCTAGTAGTGTGTGAACAGTTTGCTGTTCAGTACTCGTCTGACTGAGACCTGCCATGAATCACTGTAGTTTATCCACTTATCCATTCTTTCTCTTAAATATTTCTTAAGTCTCTTTCCATACAATCTTACTCTCTCCCCATCTGGGTGTGTTGAAAGGTCTAGATGAAAGAACTGGAGATACAAAAGTGACTGAATTTGGAGGCTGCAATTGGAGTTAAGCCATTGGTGATAGTCCTCTTAATGTCTTTGGTGCCAGCAGCTGGAGTGAGTGAGGGTCTCAGCATCAGCAGCTGAAGGGAAAACACAGGTCATAGGAACATGTGTCTGCAGTGAGTCAATTTAGTGCCAGTGACTGGCATGAGACCTTGGGTGATGTGGCTCCTGTGCTTGGTGTCAGCTGAAGCAGGTGAGAGTCCCAGCATCAGCAGGTGCAGGGGGAGCAAGAGCGACAGGGCCTGTGTGCCTGGCCTGAGCCACTAGGAAGACCAGAATTTTTATATTTTCCCCTAAGTTAGTGTGTATGTGTGCATATGCATAAATCTGCATGTGCACTTCATTAGCAGTCTTTAAGCTGGACTGTCTGGTGAGTAGGAGACCCAGGATCTGGGTACCAATATTAAATGAGCTGAGGTCCCCCACTGCTATTCGAGGGGTTTACAAATGTGTCTGTGCTTTTGAAAGAGAGAGTAAGGGGATGTGTACTTTTACTAGAAAGCTTCAATCCTGATCAGCTGGAGAGGAGGACTGGGATTTGGCTGTTTGTACACATGTTTTATTTGCATTATGGTATCATTATGTGTGTGTACTGCTAAAGGCAGTGTCTTATCTGTGGGTAGTCTATTAGCTGGCTGCATTAGTGTCCTCTTCACATGTGCGTCTCTGGCATACATACTCAGCTGCTGTTGAACCCGCAAACAGGAATGCCACAGCTGGATCCACTCGTCTAGGAGAGACGGACTCCCAGGTCTTTGGGTGCAATGGGCTAGGCTCCTCAACCAGAGGTGGTGTCTTCTATGCCTCCTCTAACAAGAAGAATGTCTCTGAAATTTTGATGGATGTTGTGATCCTGTTCTCCGAAGGTGCATAGAAAATAATGTGACTCATTCACAATCAACAGGAAATAGCAATGTCTTAGCTATATCTGTACTGGTACTGCTCAGTGTGCTTACCCTAGACAACGCTTAGTAGATTAAGAGCAGCAGTTTTCCATTTCAGTATATTTTGTTGAATCTGGGTGGCTTTTTACTAGTTAGGTGGGAAGATGGCACTGATTAAACACCAAGCCTCCATCGAGCGCTTGAGATTGTTGAGGTTTTTTTCATATATTCCTGTCTTATATTTCCTGCCTTCCCCAATGGTCCAATTGGCCTCTTTACAGAACATAATGAGCTCCCTCCTCACGTGTGTGACAGGAGATACTATAAGAATGAGGTGGTTTTGCTTGGAGCCACTTTACTAGAAGCTTCCATCATCCAGGTGCTTTAGTTTAAAGTGGTCTGTTCACTTAACCAGTAAATTACACCCATAGTACTTTAAAAAAGGTCATAATTGTAAAGAGACTTCTCTATATCTAAATCTGGAGAGAGAAATTTGTTGTTTGTACAATTCGTATTTTAACAGTCTAATAGTTCAATTTGGATAATACTAATACTCATACACCAAATTAATACCCAAAGGCTTACTAATAATACCTCTAAAAATATTAGACAGAAAGCTTTCCTAATATCTATATTTTACTTTGGTATTATGCTCAGCTTGCCAGTGTACCTCTTGTTCCCAAAAACAAGACATAAATCTCCCTTAAGAAGAGGGGTCAACGACTGCAGCAAGTCATCTGCATTCTGAGGTTTTCATTGAGAGTAGTGTGAAATTCATGCTGAAAGTTTCACAGCTGTTGGTCAAAGGACCATCTCAGTCCTCTTTTACATGTTTCTCCAGAGACAAAACTGAAAGAGAGGAGACAGCGGTCATTGGGCCCAAGCATAGGTATTAATACAAACTGGAAAAAACCTGACCTCGTGCACTGTTAGATCAGTACAAAGATTAGTCTGAAAAAATATTCCTGCTACAGAATATGTTTTTTGGTGTTTCTCTAGGGGGTAGGGCTGATAGTAACAGGGGACTGACTATATTTTAATGAAACCATTTGTTAAGTATGTCAGTTTCCTCAGAGAAAACTGTGGATTATGGGATTATGATCCTTAATTGTAAAACTATTCTGTGAAATAATTCCTTTATCACTAATCACTGTCACTTAAATGAAGAAAGTATGGTCAACCTTTTTTCCCATTTTTATGAATGATACTGAAATAGCCATAGTTCTTTAAGTGTTAAGAAAAAAAATACGTATTGTATTTGGGGTTCTAATGAAGATATGATGATTTTTTAAATCACATCGATTCATGTATATTTCATACTTGTTTCATAGAATTGAATATCATAGAACCATGAAG